CAAGTCATAAATGTTTCCTCAAATCAGTTCATTTAGATTTATTTGATTTTTTTGCCTTCTGATTAACACAATGTTATATTTTCATTCAAAAAGTATCATAATATTAGCATGTAAAAAATTACACATACCGAGAAAAATTTACGGTAGACACAGACAGGCTGAAGAGGTCTACAGCATGCTATAGACCGACAAGGCTTAGGCAAAATAGACCTGATTGGACCTTTGATTCATACTCAATGTATTGCGTATGTATTATTTTATACCCTCGACTAAAGATAGGATCATACAAAATAAATTACGTTTGTATTCTTGGTTGCACGTGTAAAGTTACGTGTACATATATACTTATTTATAAAGTTTGATCAGTGGTTTTTGAGATGGAGCAATCCAAATCTATAGTTTGTTTCACAAAAAGCCGGTGATTTTTTAGGCAATTTCGGCCTAATTAGAAAGCAATGGTGGATTGACGTGAAACTGTCAGCAATTGTACAGTCAATAGTTAATAGTCATCCTATAAATGTCAGCTTGATCAATCAAACTTTTGCTTTTCCTCAATGCTTTGAAAGATAGGCACCCTAATGAGGGTGTGAGTGTACGTATTCTGTTCGCTCACACACACATCCTCACGTTTTTGAAACAAACTTTGTAAACCACGTTCTTCTTAGCAACGTTTCGCATCATTAAGTTTAACATCAGCGAAAACGTATGAAACCGGTCAATATTAACGCGTTTCGGAAGCGAATTTTTATCGCAGAAATTTACGTCATTAGATGCTTCTTCGCTAATATGTGATGAGGACCAAAAGCAAGCTTTTCTTTTGCTAGTTTCGATCATGCTATCACAAACTGATATGATGGACAAATATAAAATTGCAGCAAAGCTCATATTGAATAGCCTTTCATAATCACATTATCGGCAGCAGACATAATATTTTTTCTTTCAAAGACCATTGTAGTATCATATTGTCTAACGTCAGCTAGTTGTACTACACGTTTAAGAAAGTTAACTCGAGTTAGATTATACACTGCAATACATCAATAAGCAAATGAATAATAATGATGCTTTAATCTTCATATGGTAAGTAAGAGCTAAAAATTGTAACACTAAATGTTAGCATAACATATTGCCTACATACATTCCTGGGAAAAGGCTTTCTCCCTTCCCACCTACTCCTCTGCCAAGCTTATTTTTATTTATGAGGACGGAAAGATTCTTTCCCATAGGTGTATATTATTCCTCTTCTCTTGAATAATATCATATTCAAACTCTTTCTCTTTTCTCTCTTTGACAAGTGATTATATACATACATATATATATAAGTGAAGTGTATGATCACAGAAAAGAATTAAGTCAGTCTATTCTTTGATTGCTTATAATCGAGAAAAAAATAGGTAAGTTCGTATTCAGTCGTTTCATCCAGTTTCAAGAATTAGTCATTTCTTATTATATATCTTTTTTTTTTCTTCAACAGATAGAAGCATAGTTCATCAGTCACGTACTTTCGAAACAATTTCTCTTACGTTCTGTCCTATTATTGCATTCAGTTCATCAAGAAAAAATATCAATTTTTTCTCTGGCTTTTGATTACTAGTTCTTGCATTTTCATATGTTCACTTATGTTTCATCTCATTTAAAGACTCATTGCCAAGGCTAGCTATCGACTTCAGTTTACGTCTATAATTACAATCCATGTACGATTCAGTATAAGTAACGTATATCTGTACCCATGGAAAACGTTTCTGAAAACAAAATCGCTGTAAACGGCGGTTTTTTGAATTCCACCGCGGTTATATCACTGAGAACCGTGATATCGAATATCGCGGTGGTAACCGGTTTCTAATACCATAGTATCGGATATCACATTAGTTTCTGGTTTCAAATACTGCGGTATGCTCACTGAGAACCATTATATCGAATATCGCGACGGTAACCGGTTTCTAATACCGCGGTAATCTCACTGAGACTTATGGTATCGGATATCGCAGTAGTTTCTGGTTTCATATATTGTGGTATGCTCGTTGATGACTGTAGTTTTGAGCATAGGTGGCGCACCAGCACTACAAAGAGTAACAATGGTCTTCCATAAAAATAATTTGGGAACGCAATAAATCTTTTATTGAGGTCTGAAATCTTTTGAAGTGCCTTTCGTTTATACTAAAGTAAGGCTCGCCACTCCAACATATATATATATATATTCAGAACGAGTTTTCACGTACTGTAGAAAGATTGACTTATAGTTATATTATTTTGTTAATTATTATCCTGTTGATTGTACTCCTCGTTGCACATATCTAACATTTGCTTGTTTAAGCAATAAGAAATTGAAATTCTGATTATTTTGAACTCTTTTTTTCTATAATTAACGATATCGAAAGTTTTCTTCTGGATGACGACCAGTAGTCTAACTGTAAGCCATCTTACCACGGAAAATATTTTGAAGAAAACCGTTGTAAAGCATGTTTTTTCAAATCCTACATCGGTATTACTCAAGAAAACTGGGGTTTCGTTTTCATAACCATAGCATTCAATATGCCTGTGAACGGTAGTTTCAGAAACCACGTTGATCCCGATTGTAATCATGTTATCTAAGCTTTTCATTTTTTTTTAAAACAAAATACCAAGAGTATAGTTATAGCTATAGTCACGATTCATGTCATCAGTTATTTTTGTAAAGATAATTTTTCATAAAATCGGAGTTTTCACGTAACAAGTTGCAGTTTTTGATATTGATGTGCATATGCTGTTCACAAGTGTCTCTATACATTTCGTGCAGTACACATTGAAGTATGATAGAATGTGTAACCACGACGAAGGTGTCGTGTACCACTATTTTTAAGAACCTTGGAATAAATTTGTTAGTTCATTACTCAGTGCAAAGTGACCTTGTGGTAATGGGGCTTGTAAAAGTTCACTACATCGGCCCTCGAAGGCCAATTCAGTTTGACTTAGGAGATACTTCATGTGAGTCTGGCATCCTTAGATTAACCGCACTGCACCTTGATCTAAAAAAACTGTGGTAACTGACGATTTCAAAAAACTGAATAAATGGTCTGACTTTTGTGGTTTCTAAAAAGTGCTGATAACTGCACTTGAAGTAGCTACGGTTCATCGCGGTTTTTCTTGAAAAAATTTTCGGTCGATATTGTGCGTATGAGAATAACGACACTTAATTGAGATAAACTTAGTATTGTGAATCAAGTAGAGCACTCGTCAGTAATTGCGATTCGAATTGTAGTTATTTTAAGTATTAGAAACTTGTTAAATGATTGCTCGTATCCATTCTCTCTGGCCAATCCGTGAGTTGATCTGAATTTTTAAATATTTAGTCATCCAAAAACTCAGTTCGTTAGTTATTTTAAATATGAAACTTGATCTTCTTAGTATACAAAGAATAGGCATTAAATCTTCCAATGACACAATATTTATTACATTACTGTTACGTGATCAGGTATCGTAAATGAAATTGGAGAATTTAACTACCTAATATGCGAGACAGAAGAAATTCATATTGACATTTTTCAAACAAGAATATTTAACGCAAAAAGGTAGATAGAGTAAATGCGGTTAGATTTCGATTTTCGAGACAATTAGTAGAAATTGTTTCATCGTATGAGAGAAGGCAATATTATCCTAAAAATTATTATAAATCTTCTTGTAGTAATTGCTTTCCAAGGTTCGATACGAAGCATCTACAAGATGTTCAAAACTTTGGCACTCAAAAATGTTTTTTTTTTGAATAACTTCGCAATGGATTGGATTTTATCGGCTTACTCTCCTTCGTATGATAAGTGACACCATAAAAGTTTTATTTCTACAGACAACCATTGAAATTTCTCTTTAAAGTAATTACCATTAGCCGAATTGCAAAAATTCCACATTTTTTTTTCGATTCCATGATAATGTTTTACAGCGTTTCTTTTTTAACTTGATATTATCCAATTTCTTTTTACAAGAAAACATCAAAACAAACTTATAAAAAAACGACTGTTTGAGATTTGAACAATTCAAACATCAGAAAATGAATCTAGAAATTGAATTAAGTAAAAAATAAACATTGCGACATATCATAATCGAACCAGAAAAATGTTGGAGTTTTGTATTTTTGCTGAAGGCAACTACTTTGAAGAGCACTTTTATAGGTTGTCTATAGAAATAAAAGCTTGATCTTGTCACCTGTCATACAAAGAAAGTCTGTTGATAAAGATCAATCAATAATGAAGTTATTCGAAAAAATATTTTTATGTATCGACTTTTGGAGCATGCCGTACATTTGTCAATTCATCGTTTAGAGGAAATGTTTATCAACAGTTACGAGATTTTCTCATCAAAAACCTGAAAATCGTTGAAAATATTTGAGCAATCGTCAAAACGCGTTAAAACAATGAAAGTTTCAATTTCTCTCAACGTTGAAACATCCAAAGCACGTTAAAAAATATTAATCTTAAACTATTCTAACGCGTTTTTGACAATTAATCAAACATTTTTGACAGTTTATAAAGTGACATGTTTAAACGGTGCTTTGATCGTTAACGTGTCAGGCTGAGCTATCTCACATAAACATATTAACGTACTTATTCAGAAAAGTAACCTTTGTGAAGAATCAAAGCTAAATGAAAGATGAGTATGCTCTTTTTTATTTCAATCAGCCCAAATAGTATAATTATTCGTAATGAGTATCAAAAGGCGAGTTGAAAAAAACTGTTTTTTTTTAAACATTTATTTGTTTTGCCGTTAAAACAAAATAAAAGCTGCATAGGTTACTTGTATATATGATATAAGAAAAAAGTCATCCTATTAAAAATAATAAAATAATGTTAAACCAATAACTTACAAGGATACTTTTGATGTAATAAAATAAGTGTTTGATATTTGTATTTATGCATAATGTCATTCATGCTTGATTTAACATTTGATTTTTTTATGATAGATATATAAATGAATGATCATTAGTTTGTTTTTTTTATTTTAAGAATTTATTTCTACTTTGTCGATTTGGAAAAATGGCAAAATTTGATGCAACTAAAGCTACATTTGAACAGATTGATACAAATCGAGATGGAAAGTAAGAATTAAAATTTTTTATCAAAATAATAAATCCATATATATATATATAGTATTGATAAAAATGAATTTCGTGAATGGATTTCAAATGCAGAAGAATTGCCTTCTTCATCATATGAATCATTAACTAGGGGACGTATTCTTAATAATAATACTACTAGTCGATGCGACCGAAATAAATATGAAGTTAGTTGTCAAGATGCTTCGGAATATACAGCTAATAGATATGCTTCATATGGAACTACAGCAGTAACTAGTGAGTTGAGTAATGATGCGGTGATTCATACAAATAGTTCAGACGAAACGAATCGATATCTGGAAAAATCCGCTAATAATATTTATATGGATCCTAATCCACAAATTATTCGACGAGCAACAACTGAAGCTCCAGTAACATATGAACAACGAATTCTTGTTCGATATCTTCAGCCACCAGCCGTTCCATCACCAGGAGTAATGAAAAAAATTGTCTAAAAACTCAATCTTACTAAGCTTTGCATGATTTTAGCCACTCATTATTAAAGAAGTGCGTCCACCACAACCACCACCTCCTCCACCACTTGTCATACGCCAGCATGCAGAATCACTTGGTCAACCACCTCCACTTATCTTACGTGAACGACCACCAACACCACCGGCATGTGCTTCCAGTGAAACAGGTTAAAAAGAAGAAAACAAATTTAAATTACATAGATTAGATTGATCAATGCACTTTATTTTACAGTTACTCGTTGTTTACCTGCTATACCTGTTCCACCACGATCAGTTATCATTGAACGCTTTCCACCTCTTCCAGAAAAACCACGTAAAAGAATTATCTTCAGTTTCATTTTTGTGGTTTTTCTAAATTTCATATTGTTGTTTCTTTGCAATTTAGGCGATATTATAATTGAACGATGGATTCCCTATGAATCTCAATCTCAACGTCGTACAATTGTTGAACGCGATCGTTCTGCTATACAATATCCACAACCATCTCATACTGTTGTTGTTTATGAAGCGGTTCAACAACGTATAGTCCAAAAACTTGAAAAACTTGGTGTTACCAAAGAAAATCCTGCCGATTATGTAGCTCGTTATAGGGCATCACTTTTAGATCCAGCGACAATTGTTCAACAGGCTCGTAATGCTGGTGTTACTGAAGATATAGTAAAATTTTTCCAGAAAATCTTCAACAAAAAGAATATATACATTTTTTTTTATTGTAGTCGCCTCCGGTACTATCATCTTCAATATATACAAATATACGCGAAAATACTGATTTCGATCAGTCAAATGAAATGATCAGTCAAGGTTTTTCATTATCAGGTGGCACTAGTTGTGAAGGAAGTCAACTAGCTGCTGGTACGCAAGCTTTGTATCCTGTTAATACAAGTTATACATCATCATCAGCGAACTTGTTTGGTGATAGTATAACCCAATGTGGGTTTCATAATCGCGATACTAGTATTACCTCTATTAGAATATAAGAAATTATATTTCGTCTCCCTTTTTTTTTCTTTTCTCTCTTGTCTTGAGTTCATGTCATGTTCTATATCGTTTTGTTTCCCTTGATCTAATTCACATATATTGCTATACTCCACATATTTTCTTTTCTCTTGATATAGCTGTGGTATTTTCATCTTGTGTTTTTTTTCTCATTGCATTCATATATATCACCGTGAGTTTTCGAAATAAAGAGGAGATCAGGTAGCGAACATCTAACTATTGCTTATGATACTAATCTGTGATGGACAATTAAAACAAACACAATTTTACAATGGAACATATAAACTATATAATAAAAGACTGATCAAATACTACTGATACTACTATCAGCTGAATCACGTTTACTCGTATACCATGTTACTGTTATTTTTAAAAGAGCTCTTCGCATTGTATCATACAATAGATTAGAGTGTGGACAAATGTCTTCAATTTGATAATGCCCACACCTACACCTTCACAGCCATTTCTTGTCTAAAGTTATGTTAATTCAGTGTTACATTTGATGATAAGATCAATGATGTTCATGATAATGATAGTTCGATTAAGTATGGCGTGACGAAAAGATTGCGGCTATTACTTAATGAACTGTATAGTATGTAGTATGAAGATGATGTATTTTTGTGTATATCAGACCCACAAAATACATTTTTGTCAATCATACAAAGTATTTGAATAGAATAAGTAATGACAAATGGCATCGATTGGTCAACAATAGCTATTAGGAAATCTACTTATATCTATAATTTGTATCAGTGGAACGATAGTCAAGCGATTGAAGTATGTGATAGAACATATGGTATACAAACTAAAGGTCGAGTACATAGATTAAAATGGGTATGGAATGATCCATGCAAATGTGGTTGTATTGTTGGTGAATCAAGGGAATACAAAGGTCAAAATGGGGCTATCCAACATGTTATTCAGGATTATGTAATCAATGTGGGGCAAGCTGTTTTAATCACATCCGACCAAAGGGTGTGGGTGTGTGGCTGGTTGTGGGTGTTCATTTAGTCAATACCTACACCCACAACTAGCCACATCCACACCACACTCTAGCCACCCACACCCACACCCACCCACACCCCACTCACACTCACGCCCACACCCCACCCACACCCACACCCACACCCCACACCCACACCCACACCCACACCCACACCCCTAGTTTGGATTATAGTTAAGAAATAATAGAGATATTCAAGGATTTTTCATGGTAGACTTTTTGGGACATACTATGAGTTCGCAAGCAATATCAGGAATTCTAAGGAACAGCTCTTGACACAAACATAATATCAATTTCCTCGTTGCTTTCAAGCACGGATGGCCGAAACTGTGTAATGGGTGTGAGGGAGAGGTTTTGCATGAGGGTTTTCTCTTCATCTTCATCCATCTACACCCGCCAACAGCGTCATATCATTTCCAACATCATATTATTACTACCGCTCATCCTCTTGCAAATCAGTGGAAATAAATATATTCTTTTATTGAAAACTTCAGATGATATCTCTAATTCAATTTTCTGGATAATAGCTTATTGTGCACTGAATATTCAGTTTAGTATCTCTTACTATTGAGTACTATGCCATGAGAATATACACATCTGTCTAAGATTCACTTAGCCTCGTCGAGGTTCATTCATGAGTAAAAGCTGAGACTATTGTTGTGAAACTAGCTAGAGTATTTCTTCGGCCAGTATTGTTTGTAATAGAAGAACAGTAATTTTTCGCATTTTAGTGGCTAGGAGCAGCTCTGGAGAGTAGCTGACATATTTCTCTTTACGAATAAAAACTTGACGATCGTAACTATCATCAGAAAAAAATATACTCAATTAGGCTTAACTAAAAAGTGGTGTTGCATGAAATTATTTTATATAAATGAGCTGTGAAACACGTGGTTAAATACCAGAACTTTTCATAGTAACTTACGACAACATTGATTCACTTGAAACTGCTGGTGAGGACACATACAAATTACTGTTTTACTTAACGTTTCATAACAATAATAGCTATTGGCTAGTATAAAATGATCACATCACTGAGCTTGCATATTGAACAGTGTTTTAACATGGAATAGGGAGCTTATTTAAGATAGTAGTACACGTCTCGCTTACCAAAAGTGGTTGCTATCTTAATGAGCACGAAGAAAACTTGCACAAACCAGAGTCATCACTCAATCGATCAAAAAACGTCTTGTGTAGGAAATAAATAAGTGTAAGTCGCAACTACAAAGTTTTTCAGCTGTGCTTGTACTCAGTGTTCCACCATATGGATGACACGTTTCATCGATATTCTTCGAATCGATTTTAATCTAGCTCATCGTTTAGAACCTATTCAGTTTCGACCACTTGACACCAAAAGATCCGTTACTAGTTAGATGTGGACGTATCTCACGCACTCACGTGTATGCCCTTACAAGCCAATTAGAAATATTAACAATATTTGGTTCTACGAATTGACGTTAGGAGAAGAAAAGAATAGTAATTGAAGTGCAGTTAACATTCTTTTTCCATAACAATACACAATGATGTGGGTGTGGATGTGAGTACATGTGTGGTGTGGGTGTGAGTAAACAAAAATACCCACACCCACCCCGACTAAATTTCGACTTGAAACTTTGTATGCAGACAAATCTTAGTGAGAATAGTCTGAGGTCTTTTTGCTCTGCCTATCTTAACATAGAGTTATGATAAAATCATGTGTTTTACATCTCCGATATATATCGTGCCTATCTCTATCCAAAGCATCTAATCAAAAAGTTGACGTCCCTATACTTTTCATAAAGTTTATATTTCGTTGGAATCTGCATAATGGTAGTGAATCAATAATTTATCGTCAGCTGAGAAACTTGCCTCGTAAATCGTTTGCACTTCTGTTTACGATGGTAGAGATGATTGAAAGATTTCTTCTCATAGAAATAGATTTGCGTAGTAGCTACTTGTTTTTTTTTAAACCAGAATATCTCCTTGAATTTGTAGGGATGAACTATTTCTACTGAAAATGAAAAATATTTTCTATTCTTAGGGAGTATTGTCTGATCTCGTTTACTTTTGTTTTTAAATCACAATCTGAAATGATCGTTGAACTATCGAGGTATGCCGTTCGACTTCATATTACGAGTACGAGTAAATATTGTTTGAACTAAGTCAAGTTGAAAAAGATTCAGACCATTGCCTTTCTAAGAAAGAGTTATCACTATTTTAATAAAATTGTAGCTGAGAGAAAAGATATTCTCAAAAAATTCAAAACAAGCCGTTTCGACGTGAAATTATCTTAGTCTCATCGATATTAATTCATCACTATAGTATGAAATCGAACGGCATCTAATAGTTGGATATGTTCCTTTATTAGCAAAGGAACGAAAGACTTCTATTCGATTATAATGAAAGAAAACTGAAGCTAAGATGCCTTCCGTTCCAAATTCAGTATAACATTGTTTCATGATAAACATATCCATAGATCATAAATCACGAGTTGAAACATACGTTACAATTTTAATCCATCGTAAATTACGCTAAGTATTTTTAAAATATGTTTTATTCTTTTACATATAGTCTGGTCAACCTTCAGCTAAAAAATTTAAATGAACGATAATATGTTCCTGAACAGATTAAATCAAAATGAACTTTAAAATCTTGTTCGACAAACAAATCGTACTCAACGATAAACAACATCTATTTTCGATGAAAGTGAAATCAATTTTTAAATCAATCTCATAAATTTTTTTCTGTTTGTTATTTGCTGATAAAATTAATACAATGATGCCTTCGACAGAATATACAAATCAACAAAATAGCAAAATCTCAAATGGTACCACTACCATCAAATGAATTTCGGTTTGCTCGTTCGACTAGAGTCTTAGCAATAAATAATGAAATAACACGATCACCACATCGTTAACCACATCATAAAAATCCTCAACATTATCAGTATCAATGTTAAAACGTTGACAAACACAAATTATTAATGGAAAATTAGATAATGAATCATTTGATCGTGTTGTTCAAATAAGAACACGATAATTACAATGTTCAACTATAAGACAACAATTTATGGAAGAGAATTTATAGAACAATTAAAACATCTTCATTTAATTGATGATCCAGATTTATTTACAATTACACATATCCATGTTCGATATGGACTTACAAAGAATTAAAAAACTTATGAGTATTCTTCATTTTTTATTCTATTTATTTGCCTTCACTGTTTTTCTGTATTTATCTAAAGATCGATGATAATAATAATTGACTGTGGAAATTTCTTTAAATAATAATATATAAAGATTTTACAAAATATAAATCATGTAATACTAATTTGTAGAGAATATATAGGTTTTGATTAGTTACAAAAGACATATGATCATAGTCTTTGAAAAGTTCTGTTACTTTATCAACCTTTGATTATAGAGTAAAAGTCGAACAAAAGCATCTCTGATCTCTACTAATGCAAAAATATGAATTTAGCGCGTGTCAGTTAAAGACTCCGAACTGGATGTACACGAGGATATAACATTTAGCAATTTTTCCAAAAAGAACTGTTTTTCTATTCGTTGGAGTTTAGGGAAAAGATTTCTCTCCGATATTTTCTATCAGCAAGGATCTTTTTTCATCCAGATTAGATTTGAATAGAAAAAGTTAATATTTCTTTGAAAAATATTCGTTTTTTAAACAAAATACATCTCATGTTGACGTCCTCAAATAATTCATTGGATGTGAGATGATAAATGAAAAATAAGTTTCTCTCAAGATAATTCTATCAAATGAAAAATAAAGACGGTACTATTTTGTTGGCTGATTTTGGTTTTTGTAGTTTATCTCATTTTGTAATGTTAAACTTGTAAACATGGTTAAAAGTTTTGATTCTTATTAGCCAATTAAAAAATTTCTACTTTCTATACTTTCCTAATTAAAAGCATAGCTAATTTGTGCTATTCTTGTTGACACCATTTATCTCATTGATTGAGAAAATACTCATTTTCAAGGTTACACAGAATCAGTCACTGTCATGGTTTCAATTTATATCATAGATTAACGAGATCAATATGTCATAATCGAATATTTTATATTTTACTACATGAAAGATAATCAAAATTTTGTTTTTCCAAATGAATTAAACGAAGTATATGAACATTGATTAATCATATTTTGACCGTCGAGTATCAATAGAAGAAGTTATTTTTACTTGGAATAAGAACAAAGTGATCTCAATGTATCATCTGTTAATATTTGTTTTTTAAGAGAACAATGAAAAGAAACTTAATTAAAATTTAGTGAATAAATTCATTATTGAAATAATAGAAATTATTTTTCTTCTCTTCTCTTTAATGATAATTCAATATGAAAAAGAATAAAACTATTCGTAAATATATTTATAAATTTAAGATTTCATTTATTCATCAAATTTTAAGGGTTCACTTTTCAATCATCTTTCATCATATTCGTTTAGATGTGGGCCTGGGTATGGGTATGGGCTGATGTTGATATGAGTATGAGAAAGAGAAAGAGAATGGTACCCACACCCACCCACCACCCACACCTACACCCCACACCCCACACCCACACCCACACACACCCACACACCCACACCCTCAAGATCGAAGAGTCGTGTTAGGTAGTGGCGCTATCTGCGACCACTACCTCTCTTCTTCTTTCCTTTTATCTCTTCATTGGTCACTAGACCTCCCTATGTTTTTGTTTTGTTGTTGGTATTGTGTTGTTATTCTAAGTTATCGTGAGCAAGATAGTGAAAATAAAGACAAGAAGTTTAGTGCGTCACAACAGACTTACACGTCGGATGACTTTTTCTGTGATAGTTATGTTTCACGCATTCACTTAACAATAACAGATTTCTATTGAGGGCATGGGTGTGGAGTGTGAGTATGGGTATGGATGTAAATAACTAGAAGATGAACACTCACACCCTCAATTGCTGTTTGGGCAGAAATTACCTTTTCTATTTATAGACTTCATGTCGTTCTTTTTATTTTGGATTTTTCTACGACGTCAAATACCTATTCTTTTTTTGTCGATACTAAACAGAAAAACTCCACATAGTTTCAAATAAGAACAAGGTTGTCAACAGCAAGCGAAAGAAAAAAAATGTACTCCTGGGAAATCTGATGATGAAGGTGTCTTTGTTGTGCTCAAATTTATTTTTAGCGAACAAGTGCAATTCAAAACTTACATATATAGAGTTGTAGAGAATTCCACGGGCTATCCGAATCTATAATTACGTTCCCCAAAATGTTGATTTATAGTGATAATTTGTTCAAAATACCGAGTCTAACTATTTCTGGCCAGGGGATATATATTTGAGGAGTAACATCTAAGCAATAGTTCAATAAAAATTGCACTCAATTTGCATCAACTGTAAGGAAGTGTCACATTAATAAAAATATTGAAAAAATTTTATCAGAATTATTTTTTGACTTCTGTTCTGTACAAAAAACTACTCATCCAATATTTTGCGAGTATCTCTCTGAGTTTTTGAGGATATGATTTGAATGTGTTTGAAAACATATCTTGTGCAATTCTCAACAAAGCCTGAAAACAACAACTTTTCAAAAGAATAACGTAAAATGCTCTGAATTTTGTTTAGACAGGAGAAGTGAAATAATTTGTTTTGTAAAAATGTACCTGTGAAAGTGGATCTTTCTTTCTTGTATTTTCTAGAGAATTGCACAAGCTATCCATTGTAAAAAGCCTAAGTCAAAATATCACAAACTAGCAGAGCTATTTACAAAATATTGAATTAGTAGTTAAATTTCTCAGTATTCTTATTAATGTGACACTTTCTTGCAGTTGATTGAAATTGAATAGAATTGATGTTGAATAATAGCTTAGATGTTACTCTTCAAATATGTATATATCCTATAAGTTTCCATCTTCCCAGGTCGATCGTTCCGGTCACCGGATACTGCAAGAACCGGCAGGGAGGATGCGGGAAAATCACCGTATCCTGCAGGAAAACACTGAAAATCGGAGGAACATGGAAGCAGGAATCCGGCCTGTTTCTGCCGGAAAGAACAGGAATTGACTGGAATCGACGGGAAAAAAATCCGAAAATTTTCTGTTCAGTGTACTGCTTCCATGTTCCGTCGATTTCCGATGTTTTTCCGCGGGAACTGACCCGTACTTCTCCACCTGAGTTTGAATATGACAAAAGGTACAACCAAAATAAAAATGGGGTCGTTACTTATGAAACAGCCTTTACTTGTGAAATATTTTAAAAATAAAAGATGATTATCAGGAAAATTTTAAAAGAAAAAAAGACAAAACAATTAAATACAGCACTTTTCTATTAATTCCTTTATGCAGTAAGATTTCATACACAGGCTATAGAGCACTAATATAGCATATTACCTATTACGTGGATTTAACCTCTATTATCACTTTGAAGTTCACATGGACCTCAGGTGGATAACAAGTGGTAGTGCACAAGGTGGGCGTATCAGGGTTAAAAGAATTGAACGAAGAAACTTTTGAAATTGACCCCGAGTCTCTGTGTTAAAAGAGTATCAAGCTACTCACGAAGTGATGTTTATATCATTACTTATGACGTATTCGTTACTTTGCAAGATAACGAAGAATATTCCAAGAAACATGAAGACTATCAGATAAGAACTGAGGAAAATGGAAAAAGCCAACGCTGTCGTTTGTTGATGAACGACAATGCAGAGGGTAAATATAAACGAATAGACAAGATGAAGAAAATCTATTTATTCCTCGACGAAAAATTGGCTGACTAAATTTTCTGCCAATAACATTAGTCAATGCAGATACTGTTCTGATTGACAGTCGAGCAAATTTGAGCCAAGATGGCCAGTGTTTCTTTAGGGGTGTGGATGTGGCTGTGGGTGTGTGTAGGAGGAGAAGACCTATACCCACACCAATACCTCACGCCCACACCCCACATCCAAACCCACATCCACACTGTTTATGTTATTCTACGGATAAGTAGTATCTTATATTGTGACGCAGCACGGCTTCGTCCTTTTCATAATTGAAAGTTTCATCATATATTTACAGGGAAGAGTTCTCATAAATGTTCGTATTTACAATCACAGGTCAAATGCACGAGATAGCAAGATAACAGAACGTAAATAAATGCGTCATGTCGATGTCTCCCTATTGTGTTTCATTTATGAATACTTGGAAAGACCCAAAAAGCAAAAGAATTTCTGTTTTTTCCCTTTCTGAAACGACATCAAATATTTAGACCTCAACTATCTATAAATTATATTCAGTCATGTTTTGCGAAAAATAAGTGAAAACCTTTCATTATAATCGTGTATAAATGAGTGAGTCAAGTGTCAGTTCATCAGTAACGGATTCCACAAAGTCGAATGACGATACAACAAGGGACACAGTCGATTCGATTCGTCTCAAGAAATCTTCCTCTCGTGGTTCACTAGCAAGTATTAACTGGAATGTCGAATCGTCAAGTTCTGGTACTGATCTAGATATCGATAAACTCGATCTTAAATTTCAGCAACTAGCTCTGGATTACAAATATAATATATCAGAGTTGCGCAAAAATCCTAATAATAAAGAATTACGCAAAGACCTTGATGAGATTATGAAAAGCTTATCACGTATTAAAGAGTGGTCATCTTTATTGGGAACAGAAGATGGCATAGCTATAGTAAAAGAAGGCATGAAAAAACAACGTGAAAATGAAGTTAATCAACGAAAGTATGAAATTGATGAAGTGCTCAAATTGGCTAAGGCTCAATCGGCTATTGACGTCTGTTTTCTAATGGATTGTACGGGTAGCATGTCCGAATACATTGATGCAGCAAAAACACGAATTCATCTACTTACTAATACTATCATTCAATTATATGCTACAAAACCTCGTCTCGCTGTCGTTGGATACAGAGATATTGATGAAAATATAGAAAAACTTGATTTTACTGATGATATAAACATGTTCAAAACCTTTTTAGATCAAGTAGAAGCAACCGGTGGTGGTGATACATGTGAAGATGTATTCGGTGAGTCTACATTTGGTTTTGCAAAGCATGATTAATATTGAATGTTGAAGTGCATTAGTAAGAAAGTGAACTCCATTCTACATCCCTGCTCCTACGCGTCGTGACAGACATGTTGAAGCGCTATTTTGAATTTTTCGACCATCGGTTTATTATTTAAATTTAAAACGCGTTGTCGAAAAATAGAAGAAGCATATCGAAGTGTCTTCGTGAGATGGAGTATGGTTGTGAGGTTTGGGTGTGGTGCAGAAATCATTGAACACGCACAGGCAATTCCACTCACACGTCAACACCCTTAAACTATATCTATTTAGTATTAGAACTTCAGATTTATCACACCAAATCTGAACATTATTTCAAAACATTTGATTAGTTTCATTGTGAGCATTTCTTTATTTAGGTGGACTAGAAATCATTCCTCAACTATCTTGGTCCAACCCAAATCGTATAACGATTCATATATGTGACTCACCTTGTCATGGACAAGATTATCACAAACTTGAAGGCTCCATAAATGATAAGTATCCAAAGGGTGATCCAAAGAATCGAGAGCTTTCAAAGTTACTGCTAGATATTAAACGATTGAAGATCACTTATTGTACAATTCAATTGAATGATACAACGAAAACAATGTTCGAGGAGTTCAGGTTCATATATGGATCGATATCCGAGATCTATCTAAAAGAAATAACGACTTTGATGAAAAGTATCTGTAAAGAAACGAGTTCTCTCATTATGACTAGTATTGAATCGACAATGTCTTCTTTCCGTACATCGAACACGTTACTAAAACCTTACACAATTTTGAGCAAAGAACCCGATTGGAATACTGTTGAAACATATGCAGTTCTTACTATTGAAATCATTCCTCCCATGACAATGGACGATCTTTTCCGACCTTTGTGTGTTGGTACAGGTAGTGGCCGAATGAAAATTGCACTTTGTCCTTTTGCAAAAGGTTCACTTCGATTCGCCTTTTATGGTCAATTCGCAAGTGATGAATTTGATTTGATGGATGTTGTCTTTAAAGAGTTCTGTAGTAGCGATCTGAAACTCAACCATTTGCAAGTCTATCAAGAGCATCTTGAAATACAAGTTATTGCACAGTTTCTAGCAGATAGATTCAATAATGAGCTGAGACGTATCTTTCGAAGGCCTTTAATAGTTGCATACGCTGATGCTGATCTTGTTCAACAAAAAACGGATGAATTCAAGATCTATCAAGTGGAAGCACGCATGCATCAAACTTGGCACAAATGGAATAATAATAGTGGTGGAATATCCTTAAGTGAATATTCAACAATATTACAGGCGTTCTCTCATTGGACATATCACATCACTGCCGGTCGTCTCATGGTGGTAGATTTACAAGGTGTGAAAGGTAAAGGTGCCTATTTGCTGACTGATCCGGCAATTCATTTTGATAATATATTACGATTTAAGAATACGCGCACCAATCTGGGTATAAAAGGCATGCAACAATTTTTTCGCACACATGTCTGCAGTGAAGTTTGTTCTAAACTTGAATTATCCGTTCCACAAACTCCGTTGGGTTCAGGGTCATATTCTATTAATGAGTCATTGGAATACTTTCAAGCCTTAGAATCAATCGATGAACTTAATGAGAAAACAGCTGAATTCGAGCCAACCATCTTAAATGGAGAAGATAATTTGGATTTGAAGACATTAGAATGTCCTTGATTATCAGTATTGAGAACATAATTTGCAGCTTTTGATAAGCATTATTGTCCAACGATGTTGACTTTTTGAAAATAAATCTGATGAATGAACTATTAGTTCTGGGTATGAGGTGTGGGTATGGGTGTGGCTGGGTGTGGGTATGGATGGCCATGAAACGTAGATTTTCTGTTAAGCGATACCCACATCCACACCCACACCCAATTGAAATGTTTGCTTCCAGTCTCGAACGGGTTTATTATGCTTCTCGAAAAATAAATATAATTCATATTCAATTGTTTGGTCAAAACAAAAGAAAACGAGAGTTTCTTTTCGTTTAAACGATCAACAATATAGTGATCAAAGTCTTTCGACTTGTTCTGTTCTATTTTGGCTTTCATTGTTGTCGGATTGTGGGTTGATATAGGGAGCAAACCTTTTCATTGATTGTTCATTAATTTGAGTATTATCATTGATTAATCGTTTCGATCGATAAATTCGAATACTAAATGGAAAGATATATATTTGAAATCTTATTCAATATGAAGTAATACAGTTTACTTAATTAAATTCATTTTTTCAATATTGTCTACTGATTGAGGTAATGGTTGACTTAATGTTTCAGGAAATATTAAAGCAAATACAGCAGCTATTAATGATACATTACCATAGGAAAGTATTGGAAGATGAATCCATAAACGTGTCTAAAATAAAATTTTTATTATAGAAAAGTTATCAAATTAAAAAATATATATTTGATTTTTCATACTAAATTATCGTCAGTATATGCTTCAATAATAGCGCCAATATGTGCAACCATTGAACAAATACCCATACCAGTATTTCGTACATTTGTTGAAAATAATTCATTTGCATAAATATAAATAATTTCATAAGAACCTGATGATAAAAATTTTAATGTACCATTTATTATATTCAATAATAATAATTGACCGAAATTCAATCTTTCAACAAAAAAAAGATCATTCATAATAACAAACCTTTTTCATCTTTTTCCATTAAACATTGAACAGGAAGTATTAATATTGAAAGAATACAAAAAAGAATAAGAAAACCAAAATAGGGAATTTTTCGACCAATACAATCAAGAATTGAATGAACAAAAATGTACGAGAGTAATTCAGCAAAAGCACTAACATCAAATGATAAATATGGGTTTAATCGCCATGATCCTATTTCTAAACAAAACAATATTATCAGTCAACAATTTACAAATACATTATTTAACAGAAATAGCTTTTTTTCGGAAATTTCATTTGTTGATTAATTTCTAAGAAAAACTTTGATAAACGCAAAATAATCCCGATTTATGATTATAATTAGTCAGCACAAATCGATGCCAAGGGTGTCCTACGAATCTTTAAAAAATTTCTTTTTTCTCCAGTTGAGTTCATGAGTTTTATTGTTTTTCGGCTCACCATTTACTAAAAAATGCTCTCTCCTCTAAATTCCTTCAGAAATACCAGAAGAAAGGAGTTCATATATTATAACGAACCATTATTGATATAGGGTTTTGTGCTCATATATCAACAACGTCTATCACAATCCGGAAGCGGAAGGTGAATAGGAGTGAATGCTAATTTTTACCCTATATATCGCAACATTCCTTTTAGATAGTATTTCAAAAAAGGGCTTAGCAAGAATTTTAGGAGAAAAAGAATCAGACACAGTGTTCAAGAACATAAGAATGTTGCTTGATGAAACAATTATTGCTTCATCAACCAAGAGTCGATCTCCGTAAATGTTTCCACAATGTCAAGACTTGTGTATTTTTTTCAGGCAAGAATCTTGTACTGAAGTATATGTAAAAAGAATGTTACCGACGAGAAAGAATAAAATTGAGAATATTGATTATTATTCCTTTTCAAAACTATTTCCGAAGAACATTTCATAGAATTATTTTGATGAATAAGAATATACTTTTCTTCTATTATTTTTCTCATATTTTTAAATAAAACAAATTATATATTTTAACAATATTGATTATTTTTCTTTAATAAAAACTATCACTTATTGTATTTTTTACGAAAGTCAGCTATTTATCTTATTTTGATTAATTAGAACATTTCTATAAATCAAATCAAATATAAAATGTCTAGTACTTGTACCTTGTGCAACACCATAATAGGTAAGATTTTGTACAAGCCTTTACAAAAAAGAAATAATGTTAATTATTTATTAATTTTAGAATAGATGAAATATCATTGAAAAAAAAATTAATATGAATAAAAATCATTATTTTTGATTGAAATAAACTTCTAACACCTGGTTGATTATTTTTTTCAGACATATTTTAATGAAATATTAAACTAAACTCTAATCAAATAAAGTAAATCTTGCTTTTATTTGTTCATCTTTTAGTTTTTTATAAGCATCAATATTGAAAACACAGTTATTTATTTTTGCTATATTTTGTAAAATTTTCCCTCCGTCATCAAATCGGCCTTTGCTAATTAACCATCGAGGACTTTCAGGTAATATACTTAACAAGGATTTTTTTAAATATTTATTTTAATTAAAAACAAAAATACTTACAAGTAAAAAATCATATATGGAACAGTAAATAATGCTATTGACAATGTTAATATACGCCATGAACGAATAAAATAAGCAAATATTAATCAAATTAGTTGACCAGATGCAAAAAAAATATTCAATTACAATTCCAGCTAAAAGTCGTTTCTTTGGTCCAGCTAAAAATAAAAAAAGAATTTAGGTTTTCAATTACTCTGGACATACCAAAAGTAGTGACTCTAACATTATTCTACTCTATACTAATGAGGAAACATTCGTAGGTATCCACGTCCTTTTAAGCTGATATTTTACTCATTTGTAGACCATGTTGAGCTTGAAAAGTCAGTCTTTCTGCTACTTCGAAGCAGATTCGCTAGTCCGATATATTTCCTACAACTAATACTAGCTGTAGCTCTGGACATTAGAAAATATTCTTCGTCGAAAGTCCAAGGCTTGATTAACGAGACAAGTTCGTCAACAAATTAATTAATTTTAAGCCGGAGCAATGTGTTCTATGTAGACCCTATGCAGTTTACGGTAGTTTTCTAAATCACAGCCGTGATTCTCCTCCAGGAACAATGGAACAACTGAGTTTCGAATTTCGATTTTGCAAAAAAAACAGATCTTAAACAAACTAAAATCCTTTTCAAAATAGAAGGCACGTTGCGCCATTATCTGGATAACTTTCGCTGAATACAAGATATAGACCTGCAGTTTTCACCGTTCGAAATAGCAATGTATAAGACCATCGATCTGTATAGAATTCATTAAGACGAAGATGTTTTTGAATCAACATTTTATTTGTTTGCGTATTTTCATCAAATTTCACAATAATATCCACTCAAATTATATCGAAATGCAGTTCCAAGCCCATTTTTTTTGTGAATCCCCTTAAAATAATAGATTGAGATATAATGAAATATATGATTATTTCAGAGTGAAAAAAAAGAGTGCTTTGAGCTACATTTTTATATAACTTGAGTTGAGATTATTGTGATATTTGATGAAAATACGCAAAGAAAAAAGTGTTGATTCAGAAACATCTTTCGAATGAGAAAAATCGAAGGTCTATATCTTGTATTTAGTTAACACTGTTCAGAAAATAGCAACCTGCATTTTGTTTTGAAATGGACATTAGTTTATTGTGATAGTTTCAAGTCTTTTTGTCATTATTTATCTTAAAAAACAGCTACGGTAAAAGCGTGAGTCTTACAAAGTTCATATACATTGGCAGATTCGATGTTCTCAGTTCAAGATACAAGCAAATGAAAAGATTTGTAACTTTTACAATAGACTATTCTGTTTAAGGTTTATCTCTACGTAAAATGTCAAGTGGGAAATTGAAAATTACTCGTTCCGATGTTTCTGAGAAGAACCACGGCTATGATTTAAAAAATACCATAAAAATACAATATTTCTGCAACAATAAGATAACGCCACAAACTCTTTTTAGAGTAGTCAAAGCTCATTAGAGTCTTTATAATGCAGGATGTGGGTGTGGGTGCGGATCTTCTCTTCCCACACATTCACTTATATCCACACCCACTCTTTTCACTGTTCATCTTGTTTACCTTGGAAAATCACAGCTTGTATTGTAATTTGATAATCAACCGGAATCAATGGATGATGAACTGGAAACACTCTTGTAGCATCAATACGATGTATTGATAAAGTTTTTTGCTTTCCATCACTCGTAATATGTTTTTCATCTTTAGCTATATTATGCGATACATCGTAAATTAAATGCGTATCGAGACCATTAGGTGTCGTATTAAAACAACGAGCAAATATCTAGGAAAATAAAAAAATTTCTTCATCAAAATAAATTTTTTATAACTTACTTGTTCAGCAAGAATAGTAATCAATAAACGATTAACTCATTCATGTTTTGGAGTTACACACTTTACTTCTAAATAATCTTGCTCTTCATCAGATTGAAATTGTGAGTGCGGGTTGCTGTGATCTTTTATTCAGGGCTACAACGACACACCTACTTCTTGAACTAGTTTTTTGGTGGAATTGACTCTGCTTCTTTTTTTATTGTGCAAAGTAGAGCTCGTCTCAATCAAATATTCCGGCACAAAAGTTTGCATCTTGAAATTAAGTCAAAAAATGTTACTAATATAGATTGACTTACTTTGCTTTTTTCGTTTTAATAAACAAATATATATCCAAGATTTTAGTTTAAATTGTACAAGGCCATTCGTTTCTCTTCAAAACAAATGAAAAACTGGGTCCAAAGATGCATTTTTAGTTTATTTATGGAGATTTACCTGAATCTCTCAAAATATTAGAACGAAATCAATGATTTTTCCATCATCAGAGAATAGTCAAAGTTTTCTTGCACAACATAATTTAATGCAAATGCTTTTTGAAAAGCACATTGAGATAGAGTTTTTCATAGACTACAAAAAAGCTAATTAATATTTCCTATGTTCGATGAATCTATCCATCGAAATCAAAAACTAGTAAGAAATATTTGCATTTCTCAGGAGTTAGAAGACTTTTAGAGTATCTCATGTCATTTTCTATTCCCACACAATAAAGTTTACATCTAGAGTAATTTTGTAGCGAATTCAACATGGAGTATTTTTATGAAAAGATGAGCTCGATTATGTGTACAGAAGGACAGAGAAATTCAAAAAATACTTATAGGTCAATTCTTCTTGGTTCATATAGATAATTTTATAATAAACTGAACAAAATACATTATTAGATCGATTGATTAACCAATATGTGACTTGAAGATCAAGTTCAGAAATAACATAAAATTTAAATGAACGATAGTCTTTCAGGAATAGTTAATTGCAATCTACACAACTTCTCAAGGTATTAACTAAAATAAAGGCTATGAAAAAACCTGCTTCAGTTACATCATAAAAAGTTTTTTTGTACGACCCAATACAATTACAAGTGTTGAATATTAAATTTTCTATTCTAATAAGCAAAGTTCGACAAAGATATAACCTGTAAGAAAAAAGAATGTTGAGAATTGTTTTTTTAGTAGTTTACTTTCATTAAAAAGCAATCGATATCCATGTTGATTATTTAAGATATTTGATCTTTCTGTGCTTCAGTGATATTAGTAATTTTTTATCAAATGTTGAAAAAATTAATTAAACTAAAACTTTTATTAGCATTGCATGTCAAATGATCGACCAAGATGAATTGTTTTGATTTTTACAAACACAACAGAGTCAGAATTTGTATTCGCTAAATATCAATGAAAGTCAAAAGAAAGTATTCATTGTCAGAGAATACTATTTTTAAGACATGTTTTGATCACAACAAAATCTGATTGTCAATATGTATTCATCCATGTGCACATGCAGAAAATCCATTTTATGATAGCGCTTACGTTTAGTTTGTCTGAAGATAGTAGAAACGCCCCAAAAATCGGACCTAGAGATTTGTTGTGATAACCATTATATCATCATGATAATAGGACTACTTTGC